CCAGGTCTACCAATGTAGTTGGAACGCCTGGGTAGACCTGGCCTCCGGAGGCCAGGTCTACCAATGTAGTGGGAAAGCCTGGGTAGACCTGGCCTCTGGAGGGGGGGCGCGCTCTGGGGCGGGGGGGGGGAGATTGAGCCAGCTGGTGGAGGGGGGGTGGAGGAGACGGGGGAACCGGCAGGATGGGTGGGAACTTACCTCCTCCTGCTGCTTCCTCCTCTTCCTCATAGGGGTGGAGCTCCCCCTCTCCCGCGAGTATCGCGGGTCCCCCACTTGTTTCCTTATATCGAACAATTCGAGATTGCCAAGCAAGTGATGCTGCATAGACTGCTCTAAGATCAGATCTAGGGTTGCCAGCCCCCAGGTCCAGGCGGGGATCCCCCCCAGTTTTGGGGGCTCCAATCCACCCCCAGCCAACTGACTGGCAGGGAAGCCCCACCCTAAGCCCTGCCCCAAGTGTGACCACCTGCCTGGCCACCCCTCTCCCTCCCCTCCTGCCCAATTTAAAGGCCTGTGGATCAGCTGGAGGGCCCTTTAGCAGGAGGAAGAGAGAAGGGTGGTTGTGGGCCACACACTCAGCTCACAAAAAGACCCTTTAAAGGTGTGGGGCTGATTTCCCCCAGAGAGTCAGTTTGGTGTAGTGGTTAGCAGCGCAGACTCTAATCTGGAAGAATCGGGTTTGAGTTCCCACTCCTCCACATGCAGCTGCTGGTGTGACCTTTGGTCAATCATGGCTCTCTCAGAGCTGTTCTCTCAAGAGCAGTTTCGAAAGAGCTCTCTCAGCCCCACCTACCTCATTGGAGTGTCTGTTGTGGGGAGGTAAAGGGAAAGAAGATTGTAAGCTGCTCTGAGACTTCTTTGGGTAGTGAAGGGGAGGGTATAAATCCAATCTCCTCCTCCTCTTGAGCCCTCAACAGCCCCTCTCCTTCCCTCCTGCTAAAGGGCCCTCCAGCTAATCTGTGGGCCACATGATCCCTGCCTATCAGGTGAAGCCCTTTAAATCAGGCAGGAGGGGAGGGAGAAGGGTAGTCGGGCAGGTGGTCACGCTTGGGAGTGGGGCCACCTGTGGAACGACCACCAAATCCCCCGGCTGGAGCAAGAACCTGCCAACTCTAATCAGATTTATAGTTGTAAAGAACTGATGAGACCAGTTTGTACCTATAATTTACATATTAAAACGTTTATATTCTGTCCATAAAATGAGTCCTCAGGGAAGATTAAAACAAATCTAGAACAACCCCCATAAAAGGCACATCTTACTCCCAAACTGTCCATATGCCTCCAGTTTCAAGGTGGCAAAAATATTCAGAATGACAGTTTACATACTGGTTTCAATGCAGTTAAGATAAGTACAAATGATATCAAGATGTAGTTAAATGAAAATATCATTTGTATCTGAATCCTTAAGAGTAATATGGTTGTATGTGAGGTATTTTCCATGAGATTAAATGCTTTCATATTTAATAAAATGTATTGTATAATATGAACTTATAAGAATGATCAATTGTGAATGAGATATCAAAATAACAATACCTGGCATTTCTATAGTACTTTAGATTATTCAAGAACTTCAAATACATTGTCTCATGTAGAATATGAGAAAATTTATAGAAAGTTGGTTATTACTGATCTAATAAGTCTGGGACTAGGAACATGTGCAAAAGGGAAAAAATATACAGTTGGGAAAGTCCAAAAGCTAGGCAAAGTACTTTTCCTTTTGATGTTATTACTGCTCGTTTTTCCCTAATAGTCACTATATTGTTCATAACAAAAAAATGTAAATGGGAGAATTTGTAGACTAGAGGCTATGAGCCAAGTATCCAACAAGGCAAGGCCAAACAGATGGGAATGGCACGACATTTCGTATACCTTTACTGGAACTAATCAGCTAAACTTTTATCTGGTGGGCTTAGATCAGGGGTGTCAAATATGTGGCCCGCAGGCCAGATCAGTCCCTTGGAGGGCCCCAATCTGGCCCACAAGGCCCTGGCTGTTTCCTGCTTTCTTTTCCAGTTCTGCCGCCGCCGTCGCCGCCGCCATGTCACAGCTTGCTTTACCAGTCTCTCTCAATCACACAGGAGAGATAGATAGGCAAGCCTCTCCTGTGCAATTGAGAGAGTCTGGTAAAGAACTGGCTGAGGCGCCTCCCCCTCCTCCTCCCAGGGGGAGGGAAGGAACAGCCAGAGCTTACTTCCTGGCCAGGCTGCAGGAGACAAAGGGAAGCCTTCCACTGGCTTAGGCTGCTCTCTGAAGGGAGGGAGGGAACGAGGGAAAGTTTGCTTTGTTGGGCTGCCTTAATCTCATGGGAAAAATACCAAGCACCTTTAAGACCAACAAAGTTTTGTTCAAGGTATGAGCTTTTGTGTGCCTTGCTACAGTGTGTGTGTGCGTTTTGTTGGGCTCTTTATGCCAGGGCTTTCCTGGATGCAACTGGGTTACCTCCCCCTTTTCACTGTATTCATGCTCTCATGATCCAGTCTTTCCAGTAAGAAAGCAATGTGAAATATCTTAGAGGAGGAATAACAACAAGTCAGTGAGGTGGATTAAGCTGAGATAGTTTGTTCAGACTAAGTTTACCCAGCACATTTCCTTTGTAGGAGGTTGTAGTTATTTCTCTGGGGAAGACTATAGTTTTATAGACAAACACATGGCCGTCCTTGAAATACCAGAGGTGGGAGGCAGAGGCAGGTTTTATTCAGCCACCTCTCTGAATATCCTCCAGGCCCCCAGTACGGGTCAGTCACCAGAAGTCACCATGACTTCTAGGTGTACACACACTCACTCACACAGAAACACATGCACATTTTAAAAGTACTAAAAAATACCCACCCAAAAAGTGGGGGGAAAGTGGGAAGTGGGCATCATCACAAAATGGCTGCCATGGGAAAGCAGATACAAAATGGATGCTTCCTCCAACAATTCATATCAACAGCCTTTCAACAGTTATTAACTACAGCCAGAGGCAATTTAATTCTGATTTCTAGATGATG